CTTGGATCCAGAGCCCGCCACCAGGCACACACCTTCACAACAAATCAGTGCCGGGCCAAAGGCAATGGACAGGAGCGCTCCTACCCACCTCGCCCCCACCGACCCCCAGACCTCCGTAAAATAAGCAGTCATCTAGGAAATCTAATTTCCACGTGTGATCAGCTGACGCACACTCCCACTGGCCCCGGCCACATCATCCTGCCACCTCTGATGCCCCAAAATCTCATTTAGGGGACGCACATCTGCACGGCGCCACGGGAAGCCTGCTGACAGCCCCCGACGCGCTCCTCTATCGGGAGAGGCCTCCTGGAGCGAGCCTCGCGTGGGCAGTGACAGGACGGGGCAGGCTCCCGTCCCCCCAGAGACTCCTGGATCTCCAAAGAAGGGCCCCACTGTGTAAAACGGAGACGCAATTACTTACAGTGAAGGGCACAGAATGTACAGCTTGACGGATTTTGACAAATCTCTACACCCAAGTAACCATCACCCAGACCAAGATATAGAACATTCCAGCAACCCCTGAGGCTCCTGATGCCCCTCAAAGGAGGGCCCTATATTCCCACAAAGGCTCTGGCTGGGGAGCAGGGCTCTGCCCTCAGGGATTGGCTCCTGGTTTGATTCCCTGACCCAGCAACGGTTAGGAAAACAGGGTTAAGTCCCCACTATTTTCTTAACCTGTTGGCGCTAATTAAACTCACTAAGGTTACCGAGCAGCTACTCTGTGCCCTGTGTGGACAGATACACGCAAGGCAAGGGTCCCGCCCAGTGTGCATGGGGACAGGCTCGGGGCAGGTGCCAGGACAGGATGCGAACCTGGATCTGACGGCGCTGGCCGGTGGGCTCGCCACCACGCCACTCAGCCAGTGGAGATGGAGGTTGACAAGAAGGTCCCGCCAACACGCAAGGGGCGTGGGGGTGTTGTCTGACGTTGATAAAGCGCCTCTGTGTCTAGCTGATTCCACAGTTCTGGGAGATGAGGAAAACGGTAGGAGGCGAAGTGACCTGCCACAGGGGAGCGGCTGGTGACAGATGAGCAGGAGGGGTCACCAGGGTGACCCAAGAAGGGGACCCTGGCCCTCAGGCTTCAAGTGGACAGTCCTCCCACCACCCTGGGTGGGTTCCCACCACCCTCTCTTCCTCCCGACCCCGCCCTGTAGGATGAGAGCAGGCCACGGGGAGGAAGGGAGGACACTCAGAGAGGAGCTCAGCGTCCCCCTTGGGTTCAGCACAGCCATCTCAGACATGCAGAGGGCTGGGGCAGGACAGCCCTGACAGGTTGCTGGATGCCAGACCCACCTTATGTGGAGCAGGCTCCACGAGGTCACCTCTGGGAAGGGTCCCAGCCTCGCCGAGATCCACCCGGAGCACAGGGTGAGAAAACAGAGCAAGGCTGGCTGCAGCAGGCACTATGCGCGTAACCAGAACACACCTCTGGGCTCCCCACGTCCCCAGGATGATCCGTCTGCTTGGAGGAGGTTGGGGGCAGGTTTGTCACGTCGCCACAGGCAGAAGGCCACATGGTGGGAGACTCAGCATGGCTGTCCCTCCTCTCAGCAACCTTAATGGGGCCAGAGGCCCTACAACACAGCTCCCTCCAGGTCCTGCCTAAGGCAGCCTGGCCTAAAGGGCAGTCCTGGGAGCACTAATGTCCCCTGCAACCCTGCAGGCAACACAAGGGGGCCTCAGAAACAGGACACAGGCCCGGCATCTACTATGAGACTGACTGGGGCAGATGCCTCACGCCAAGAGGCTTTTAATAGGAAAATGAACCAACACTTACTGAGTGTCCCACCTGCCAGGTTAGCATTTGGCAGCTATGACCTCATTTAATCTCACTCCACTCTGAGTAGGTGTCATCAATATCCCCATTTTACAGGTGAGGAAACTGAGCCCTGGAACAAATAATACTGACAGCCCAAAAAGAGGAAGAGAAGGGAACCAACAGTTAATGCTTCCAGTCTTTAAATGGCAGCCTGACTACTGCACTAGTCCAGACGAGAAGAAGGTTTATTGCATTCCCACCACATGCCAGGCACTACATCTGTGTTTTACATACACTATCTCAGCTAATCCTCCCAACCAAGCTGTGCAGCAGAAATTTTATCGCTCATTTTACAGGTAAGAAAGCTGAGGCCCAAGAACTCGACGCCACGCCAGGAGAGGAATTCCAGTCAATGAGCTTTCTCGAGTGGCTCCTTCCTTTACCCCCCCGGTGAAGAGTTGAACAGACTTTTCTGGGCCTTTCCTCTGAAAGCCACGCCCCTCCTGGATTCACCGCGGCCAGGCTCCGCAAAGCCCTCAAGGATGGTGGTCTGCAAATACCACCCCCAGCCCACTCCATAGAGAGTATGGTGATGAGAGAGGAGTACGAGATTGAGGCAGCAGACGGGGCACAATCCCTTCATGCTTCCATGCCTTGGCACACACACACGTTTGTGCACACGCACAGGCATGCACACACTCTCCTTTTGCCTGGAACGCCGTTCCCAGTTTCTGTCCCAGGCCATCAGCTCTTCCTCAGCCTCAGTCAGCAAGAGTGGGTGACACTACCCGAGGCCTGGGCTGCTGAAGGAAGCTCTGGCTGCCTGGCCTCCCCCATGGACTCACTGGGTGAGTGGCAGGCCGGGACACAAGACCCAGCCCCTGGCTGGGGCACATGACCCGGCCTCGCCAATCACAGCACTGGATTATCCAGGAACTACTATTGGTCTAGTGGGTGGGCATGTGACCCCACAGAGCCAATCAGAGTCCTTCCCTGGGACTGATTCTCTGGGGCTGCCAGTGGCTGTGCTCCTTGCTAGGGAGAGTGGGGCCAAGCAGAGCCACACAGGAGGGAGGGAAAGAAGAGGGACCAGCTCCTTTGCACAGCTCAGGAGCCCTCCTAGCAGCACGAGCTGGCCAATCTGCCTGTCCCCTCTGTCAGATGGGAGTCTGGGGTCAGGAACATGACTCGCTGCCCCAGAGAGAAAGAAAGCCTCCTGGGGACCTGCAAAGGGGGGACCGGAGGTTGTCCCCCACCCCGGGGCCCCTGAGCATCACCCTGGGGCTGGTCATGTTACCGTCCAGGCTGTGGGCCTCACCTCATGAGTAACAGGGAGACCACAGGGTGGGAGCCACCCACACACAGCTCTGTGCTCTGCAGGGGAGGGTGGCACCTGCTCCACTCAAGGGGAAATTCCTGGGGCCTTTGAAATCTAGACGCCCAGTTAAACACACGTGTGCACACAACACATATCTACTCTGAGTCACGGAAAAAGCAGAGCTGTAAAAATGCCACACCAGCCGCATGCCCACTTGTGTAAGTACAGTCAGGGATGGTTCCACGGAGAGTCGTGGCCATCAGTGCACCTGTCACCCCTTCCCCCACACACAGGTAAAGTGGCCCAGAGACCTGGAGTCAAATCCCAGCCCTGCCACTGACGGGCTGTAAGACCCTGCACGAGTTACTCAAACTCCCTGGGCCTCAGTATTTCTCATCTATAAAACCGGGACAACTAACGTCCACACAGGTTTGCTGTGACAGTTAAAAGAGAAGCATGTGGCACACACCTGGGGCCTAGGAGTCCCTGAAATCATGATGGCTGCCACGTGAGGTGGGACAAATGGCCTCAGGCAGAGTGACTTTGATTAGGCTCCCAACCTCCCTGAGCTTCAGGTTATTCATCCATAAAATAGGGATGTTGACATCAGCTTCAAAGGGTCGTGAAGAATTAGCGAGGTTAGGAAGGTCAGGTGTCCAACTCAAGGGCTGGCCCTGCCCGTCTCTGCTCTCCTCAAGGACGCCCAGGCCTCACGCAGAGCCCGCCCTGAGCTGGACCCAGCAACACGCTGTGCCCACAGCCCACTGCCCCCAGGGGCTCTCAACATCCTGTTCTCTCTGCTCGGGTATTATTAGAAGGAAGAGCACTTCTGACTGGAAACATAATGTGTTGAAGCTTAACACTCCGAGTCAAACGTACCAGAGGAGGGAAAAAATCCTTGTAGCCTAGATACAGTGGAAAACACCTCCCAGGAGGGTCCTGAGGAAGCAGTGCTGCTGTCTTCACTCTGGGGATGGACGGGCCGAGCTCTCTCCCGGGAGAGCTATGGCCATGGGGCTGTTGGTCCTGCTTTGTCACCCTCATGCCCATGTGCCTGTGGAGGGCTCCTCCCAGCAGTGTCCAGAGCGGGCAGGGGCGTTGCTGGACTCCGGGGACAGGGGAAGCCACGAGCAGCCAGCAGGGTTCAAAGTGGCTCCTTGCAGAGGCCCCTGCCGGCGCCTGACCACCGCCAAGGCCACGCGCTCTCCCCCTGGCCCGGCAGAAGTGCCCGCTCCTGGCCTCCGACCCTCATCTTCTTCTCACTGGGCACCGGCAGCCCCCCATCCCTCTCCTCTGAGCTCCAGATCTGCGTGTGACGGCCCCGCCTGGACGCCTCACCTGCCTCTCAGGCTCCCAGGCCAGGGAGGGGTCCCACCACGGCCCCTCTGCCCATGCCACACCTGGGCTCATCCTTGCCCCTCGTCCCCTCACAGAAGCCTTCCCTGACTCCCCTGGCCAGGTGCATTAGTGCCTAGAGCTGCCGTAACAAAGTACCACAAACAGGTGGCTTAAATCAACAGAACACAGTCCGGAGGCCAGAAGTCTGAGATAGAGGTGTTGGCAGGGCTGGTTCCCAGGCCTCTCCCCCAGCTTCTGGTGTGGCCGGCAGTCCTCAGTGTCTGTTGGCTGGTAGGTGCATCGCCCCAGTCTGCCTTGTCGTCACACGGCCTTCTCCCTGTGTGGTCTGTGCCTGAATTCTCCCCTCTTTGTAAGGACATCGGTCATTGGATTTAGGGCCCATCCCAATGGCCTCATCCTACTTTAATGACATCTGCAAAGACCCTACATCCAAATAACGTCATGTTCTGAGGGACATGAATTTTGAGGGGGCACTACTCAACCTAGTGCACCGGAAGGTTAAGGATCTGTGTCACCTCCCTTCACTGGGGGGACTGAACTGAGCACGGCTCCTGCTCGCACCCTCGGCTGCAGCCATGACCTCCTCCCGGCTCCTGGACAGGCACTGCGGACACGACAGCTCAGCGTGGGCAACAGGGCGGGCAGGGGCCCACAGGCAGTCTCGATGCCCCGAGTCATGTCCAGGTGCTGGGGGACCCCACTGCGGAGGCCAGGCCACCTGCTGGCCCTGTGCTGGGCTCCTCAATCTCTGCTGCCTCAGCCCCTGCTGGAAGTCCCCTGCCCACTGCCAGGGTCTCCTAGATTTAAAGTTACATACGCGGCTCCCGTTATACTTCTTTTGGATAGAGTTGTTCTATAGGAATGTTTTACATTTCAGACAAAAGCCGTGGACTTCCACTTCTGATGAGGAAGCAAAAGGATGAAAACCTTTTGCTCCATGGTAACAAGAAGACACACCCAGACAGAATAAGAATCCTACTTTCTATGGGACTAGAGAACTAAGTGACAGATACCAGAAAACCTTGAAGGACCAAGTTCCAGAGAGGAAGGAGCCTTGACAGATGAGCAGAGAGGGGACCATCACACCTAGTGGGGCACCTGGTCTGAGCACAGGTGCACAGAAGAGCAAGGTCACCGAGCATGGAGACGCTGACAGGACCGAGAAGTCAGCCGAGTGTGAAGGAGCAGCCAGGGCTCACAAACTGCTGGAGGTGGGGGGGATGGTGCAACCATGTTGAAAAGAATTTGGTAGTTTCCTACCAAATTACAGACACACCTGTGCCCCAGGACCCGGCAATCACTCCTAGGTATTGACCAAGAGAAATGAAATGCACACAATGACGTGTGCACGAACGTTCAGAGTAGCTTTATTCAATATCGCCAAAAAGTAGAAACAACCCAAATGTCCGTCAACTGGAGAAGGGTCAAATGTGGTGGTACATCGCTGTGGGGGGACGCCACCCAGCCATGCACGGGAATGAACGGCGGGTACACCAGCAGCACAAGGATCCTCCAAAGTGCCATGTTGAATGAACAGAGCGAGACAGAAAGGCACTTTGAATGGTTCCATCGACACGAGCCCAGGAACTGGTCAAACTCATCTGAGACGGGGAAATCAGAGGAGCGGCCGCCCTGGGGGAGGACGGATCAGGCAGGCGCAGGGGAGAACTTTCCGAGGTGATGGAAACGTTCTGGATCTTGACTGGGGGGTAAGTTACCTGGGTGTGTACAATTGTCAAAACTCATCAAACAGTACAATTAAGATCTGTGAATTTCAATGCATGTAAATTATATCTTAAAGAAAAATCATATATTACAAAAGGCAGGAGCTGCCGCTCCAAGCCTCGTGGAAAGAAAGGAAGGGGGCGCAGCTGGAAAGAAAGGAAGGGGGCGCAGCTGGAGGTGCCAGCTGGAGTGCAGACCCCCGCCCAGTGGGGGCAACATGGATCCCCCACCCCACCTTCGGCAGCTTCACATCTGACTTGCTGCATTTGGACCAGAATCGATCTTCCGAGTTACGGCAGTCAGGTCTCCAGGAGGGGACCCGGGACCTGGCAATGGGATCAGGAACAGGCAGGATTTCTGGGTAGCACTGAGGAAAGCACAGGAATCGATACGGGCCGTTTATGTAAATAAAATGCACACTGGCCTCATCGATCACCAACTGGGCTTACAAGACGTCCCTTCTCACTTCTCTGATGAGCACCGAGACTATCTGAAACGGCAGAGACAGGCGGCTGTGGAGAAGGACCAAGAGGGACTGAGGACTCCCCAAAACCTCACTCGGGCTCCGGGGCTGGGTGCACGTGGCACCTGCAGGGAGCAAACTCGCAGAGCAGGCACTGACTACCGCAGCCTCCGGCCCCTCCAAGACCTCCCAGGAGCTTCCAGAGAAAACCGGAGCTTGGCTCCAACGAGCTGGGGCACAGAACCTGGTGGGGCCCCGGGAGGGAGAGGACGGAGGAGACGCTGGGGCAGGATTTCCATAGATGAGGATGCCAAGGGATGCCCAGGAAAGCAGACAACAGGACCACAGGGGACGGGCTGAGATGCGGCAGGGGGAGGACAGTGGAGAGGGGTCCACGGGCCCCGGAGGCCACCCCAGGGAGGGACGATGTGATGCTGCAGGTGACAGGGAGGTGGGGACGAAATGTGAGCAGGGCAGTGAAGGAAGAGCTCGGAGATGGGAGATGGACCAGAGGCTGCACAAGTGGAGGCAGTGCAGGGGGTCTGGGGGGACGTGTGATAGGAGCAAGAAGGCATGGAGACCACTGGCGTTCTTCGGTGTTTTAAGCAGGAGGGTGACACAAGTCATGAAAAAACCCAGTGAGAGCCCAGAGTTAGGTGGTGGGGACAAAGATATAAGTTTCCTTCCTCAAGAAACACAAGCAGGGGTTGGAGGGTAAGGATCATGGGCAAGCCACTGCCACTCTGAGCCTCAGTTTCCCCATCTGTAAAAGGGAACAGTCGAAGTAAATGCAGACGTGTTTATAACACTGCCAACCTCTGCCAGGCACTGTGCGGTTAGATCACTAGGAAATTATTCACGCCTCCTCTTGGCAAGAGGGCCTGCTCCTGCGGCCGGCCTCCCCTCGGGCCTGTTCCAAACCCTCCGGTCAACTTAATTATTTCCACGCTCCAAACATGAAACCCGGCCCTTAAATTCCACTGGCAGGCCTGCACCCAGCGCATCCCCGCTACAGTTCTAATTACCAGCATTAGCATTTCCAACCTTCCGCCCGCCTGCTGTGAGCGACTTCAGAGGCCTCCATGGTCCGGCGCCACATCCGCGTGTTAATAAGCTGGAATAACGAGGCTGCGCTGAGCAGCAGGGCCCGACAGGATGGAGGGATATGCTAATTTCAGATCTGGGGTCTCGAGTCATGAGGGAGAAGCAGCCACAATCCCTGGTGGCTGGAGGGAGGAGGCTGAGATGCTGCCCAGGAGGACAGCGTGGACGAGGCTGGGAGGCCGGGGCTCTGCTCTCCGGGTGGAGGGGCCCTTCTCTGAAGACCCACAGATGTGTGGGCCCCTCATACCGGCCCTGCAGGGGCTTGTCCCTGTGCACACCCGGGGGCTGAGACACGGCGCGTGGCTGGAGGGGCGGGACAGCACAGAGGGAGCCCGTCCCATGGGCCCTCCCTCAGGCCCCAGCGGGCAAGGGAGGGTCACCCTCAGCCATGACCCCCAGCCCTTGGCCAGGGACCCCTCCAAGTGCACCCATCTCTGTCCCCGGTGCAGACAGCAGGTGCCCTGGGGTCCCCAAAGTGCCAAGCAGGAGATGAGCCCATAGGAAAGACAGGAGTATCTGACAGGAAGCCACGGCAGACAAGCCCCACACAGGGCCTCATGTGGGGCTGGGGGCACGGCGTGGTCTGGGATGCCCGCCCCCAAGGTGCCCGGCTGAGGAGTCATTTTGTGGAATTTAATTTGTATTAATATATCAACTTCTAAACCTTTCAACTTATTCCAGTTTTTAAAGGCTCAACAAATATTTGTCGGATGAATAGGGATTAGAGAAAGACACCAATTCCAGCATTTACCGAGCCCCTGCTGTGTGTCACGCAGTCTGATTTTATTTAATCCTTTAGGAACCTGGAGTGCTCACAATTCTTGTTCTTTCACACACAAGGGAATGGAGGGCCAGAGGGGCTGAGTGACCTGCCCAAGGTCGCCCAGCTTCCAGCCCTGACACACGAGGGAAATTCCAGAGACCCCCAGGGGAGTGTGGGCAGCCAGGTCGGGCTGCCTGCGGGTTTGCCTCCAGGCCCCTCCCTGTGTCCGGCCGCAGAGCCTCCCTGGGGGCAGCACAGCGCTGGGCATGTGTTGGCCGGGCTCTGGCGGTGACTTCAGCCCCCATGGAGCTGCCTTTCCTGCCGTTTGCTCAGGAGCAGGTCAGGCCAGCCCGTCCCTTTGTGACTCAGTGACCTGCTCCTGCACCGCCTCCTCTCCGTCAGTCTGGTTTCTTCTCAATAGCTTAGAATAACAGTGGGGGCAGAAGGTGGGGGCAGAAAGACCAGAAAATTACAGACCCCACCAAACGCCTGATTTCTGTGACCTTGTGGTGGCCGCAGAACGAAAAATGGTGAAACGCGGCCCCTCCATCATCCACGCTAACAGGGGCAACGAAAGCCACATGAGCGCCAAGCCTCACCCTCCACTCCCAAAGCCCCTCCCTCATTTACACCACGCACAACCACACCGCGCACCTACTGTGCGCCAGGCACGGGGGCTGCTGGCAGTTCAGTGGTAGACAGAGCTGCTGATGGTCACAAACCAAGGTGAGGGCAGTGAGGGCCACATCAGAGTGGCACGGGGGACGGGGGACCTACCAGCCCGTGGGAACTGCATTTGTTCCTTCATCCATTCATTCATTCAGCATTTTGTTGCAAGCACAGGGGAAGCAGGGATGAATCGGAGGCAGAAGCTGTACCCCAGAAGCTCACAGTTCAGTGGGGTACACACCTGTCTGCTCTCTGCTTGTGGGCGCAGAGAGAGTATGTCACTTTCCCAGAGGAGGTGACAGGGAGCTGGACTGTGGAAGAAAAGGCACAGCATGGGCAAAGGGCTGGCTGGGAGGAGCGTGGCCTTGGGACTGGGGAGCAGCCTGGGGTGGGACAGCAAGTTTGGGGCCAGAAGGGCCTCGATGCCAGGCTCAGGATCTGCACTTGTGCTGGCCCCAGCGGGGGGCTCCCCCTTCTCCCAGCTGGACACAGGACAGAGGAGACAACCCAGGGCCTGCATCATCTCAAACCTGGTGACCCACAGCCAGGCCCCCAGTGTGTGCCAGCACCATCTGAAGGGCAGTGGATGGACCCTTGGGTGGCCTGAGCTGTGGCAGGGCCCTTGAGGGGCCCCTTTGGCCCCAGCACCCCGGAACACAGAACCCAGGAGAAACGGAACAGCCATAAGGGCACCAAGCACGCTGGCCGATCTCACGTGGGGCCTGGCCTGGTCTAGGCCCGTGACAGGAGTGGCCGATTTCATTCCCAAGACCACCCTGTGAGAAGGCACTACTCCCACCCCACTCACTGTATGGGGAAACTGAGGCTAGTGACCAGCCCAAGCTGGGAGGTGGGGGAGCCGGGTTGGGACCTGCAGCCTGGCCGCAGAGCCTGTGTGCACTCTAGATGCTCCAAGAGGCGTGTGGCCCAGAGAACTCACAGCAAGGGCTCGGGGCACAGCAGGGCACCCGCAGCTGGAGCACGACCTGGCTGCCGAGCTGAGACCCCAAGGACCAGCGGGGAAGCCGCATGGAGGGCAGGACGGCCCCAGCTTCCCGGGGAGCTACAGCGCGTCTCCGGAGCACACCCGGAGGTGGGCGTGCAGGGGCCTGGCCCATGTCCAGCAAACCCTTTGTCCTGGCTGGACCTCAGTTTCCCCATTTGTATGATGGGGGTGAGACCCCAATGGCCAATATCCGAAGTCCAATGCAAAGGGTCTGACTCAGTGGAGGAGAAGGAGGAGGAGGAGGAGGAGGAGGGATCTGAGAAGTTAGGACACAAGCCGGAGGCAGAGACCCCAAGATGGGGGTGGGGGTGGGGGTCTCCCAGGAGGGCCCAGCAGCCGCAGCCAAGGCACACTGAGGCCAGATGAAAGATGAGAGTTCCCGCTTAGTGTGGCCCCTGCCCACCCAGCCGGCCCTCATGCCCACCACGCCCTCCACTTCTCCTTCCCTGCCCAGTCCTGCCCGCAGCCTCCGTTCCAGCACTCCCTCTACCCAGAAGCCTGGAGACCAGAGCTGAACCAGACAGGTGCCTGTGTGTCCCCCGGCAGCTCAGGGTCGGGCGAGGGGGACACAGGGGTGTAACAGGGTTGATTACAACAGCAGTGTGATGATCCCTAGGACAGAGGGAGCCCCAGCTCTGGGCAGCACAGACCAGCACAAGCCCGTTTTTTTGCTCCCAGGACCTGGTCTGTGCGAGCCCCTGGGGATGCGCTCGGGGAGGCTCAGGACTTCTCACGGAGACACTAAAGGGGAGCGCGTGGGGCTCTGGGAAAGGCCCTGCCACAAGTCAGGAGGGCCGGCTCCCCAGCAGGCTGGTCTGTGCCTCCATTCCTCCTCGGGACGCAGCCAGCTCCAACGGTCCTTCGGGCCCCACCGTGCCACCCGGCAGCCGGCACGCACCTTGACCTCTGTGCCCCGCTCCAACCCCTTCTTTGAAAACCTAACAATCAAGTGACAGGGTTCTGTCCCCACACAGTGACACACATGACAACTACTCCCTCGGGGGTGAGAGGCTCATCACTCGGCTTTGGCACAGAAGTGGCAGAAGCACCTGCTCTGTGTGGGTTCGGGGGCGCCAAGGACACTCGCCCTCAGCATTCCAGCCAGCATCTAAGCGCCTTGTGGGCCTGACTCTGTCTCAAGTGGACACAAACCCGTGCCCAGCACACAGTAGGTGCTCAGTAAAACACTTTCAGCCCTTTGAACTCAACAGCTCCAAAAGACAGTACGCTTGAACCTGAATGAAGGAAGAGTCTGGGACAGGAGTCACAAACTCCGGCTTCAGCTCAGCTGCTCGTCTTCTGCCCCTGTTACTTACTAGTTCACATTCGGTAACACACTGAGCCCCTGCGAGTCTCAGTTTCCCCATCTGCGAAATGGGAATTACACCACCACCCACTGGTAATCAAGTCACCCACAAGAATCAAGTGGGATGTGAGCATGTCCTGTAGACCGTGAAGGGCTGTGCACCCAGGAGGCATCCTTCTGCAGCATCAGGCAGCTTCCGTCTCTCGCTCACATAACCAGGCTGTTAAAGCTTTGAGAGCGAATGCTCTCTCTGCAAAAGCTGAAAACCATGTCCCTTCAAGGGAAATTAAGGGAGGAAATAAGCTTCATTGCCCCGTGCACCTCATTTCCGGGGCTTGGTGGCTCGGGGGATGGCCTCCGCCACGTTCGCCTCTACAATCCATTTCAAGCTGTCCTTCCTCCCAGTCCCTTCAAGGACCCCTGGATTCTGGGAGCTACCTCGACTTAATGAGGGCTACCAGGAGCCCTGACCAAGGCCCAGCCATCAATGACATGGGCATCACTGCCTCAGTAGGGGACAAACAGGACTCAAAGGCAGGCATCAGCAGAGCCAGGGAATCTACTGACCACCACACAAGACGCCCACCCAAACCCGGCCCTGCTTGCTCTGAACCCAGCCTGCCGGCCAGCAAGCTGATGCAACACAGCATCAGGCTGGCACACTCTGGTTCCACCAGCAATAGGTGTGCAGCGTGGGACATCAGGCCTTAAGTGGGGATGTCTGCCCGGGAGAACGTCCTCAGGGCCGGAGAGGAGACCCAGCTCCTGACAAGCAAGTAAATGAATGAATGAGTGAATGAATGACTTGAGAACAACAAACCCCTTGCCCAGCCCACCTCATGGGGATGTTCTGAAGCTAAAAATAAAGTCATGGGCACGGGAAGAAGGACTAGGGGAAAGAGAGCGTCCAGGCTCTGGGGTGAGGCAGAGCAGGACCCTGGAGTGTCACTCACTCATTCGTACCCTGGTCAGACGTCTGCTTTTGGAGCCTCAGTTTCCCTCCTCCGGAAGTTGGAGAGAGAGATGCTTACCTCATAGGATCACGTGAGATTTCTGTATAAAGGGTTGATTGTGCATCTAGAAGGTGCATAATAGCGGCCCACTCCCTTCCCCTCTCCGGCCTTAATTTCCTGTAAACTGCTGGTAACGACACTTAAACAATATAAGGGGTGGGAAAGCCGCCAGGGTAGTAAGTGTGGCAGGCGTACTGGGTTTTATTAAGCTTTGGGTCACGTGTAAATCATTTTATAACACTCTTCCTCAGGTTTGGAAGCCCATAGGCTCTGTGCTTGCCCTGGAAGAACAGGCAGCCTTGTTTTCGCAGGAGCCAGTAGGAAGAGCGTGAAACGAGACACGGCCTGACCCAGGCTCCTCCGTGCCCCGACGTGGGGCCTGCACCCCCTCCTCTGTGAAACGGGGCGACTTAACTCCAACCGAAGGACGTGAGGTACGGTGCTTCCCACGCAGACACTCGCCTTAAATCCGAGCCCCCCGCACCCCCAAGGGGGAACTCACAGAGTTTATGCAGCTTCTGCTTTCTATAGAATCACCTGCTCCGTGGGTGATGGGGGCCGGTTCCCAGGACAGCAGCCAGCAGCCTGGGGCTTGTCCCCCGTCCACAGCCCTGGTCCCAGATCCCCTCTCTGCTCAGGTCTCCTGCACCTGGGCCTCAGGGCAACTAGCACCTCCAGGAGGGCTTGAGAAAGGGGGGACAGGCAACAATGGGGGGGTCCCGGAATTGTCCAGCACCTGACAAGGCTCTCCCCAAATACTGATGGCAGGATGTGGGGGGTGTAAGCAGTCCCTGCTTCCCTCGACCTCAGGAGGCAGCTGTGGGCAAGCACAAGGAAGGACAGGCTCGACACACCCGAACCCCGGGGCTCCACTGAGGGCTGATGGCCCCCCGGTGAGACCAGAACTCTCCAGGTCTCTCTTCCCGAGATGGGGAAGACGCTGCATCCTTCTCCCGAGGGGGAGCTCTGCCTGGACCACTCTTCCCCCGCCCCCAGCCTCAGTCGCTTGTCTGTTCATCCCCGAGGTGGTGGGCGTGGAGTCTGGGGGACACTGCAGACTCTCAGGGCCCCCTCAGTTAGCCCTCACGAAAGCTGAACTGTGGACGCCCAACTTCTGATCTAGCTCCTCCCTATTCGGGAGACCCCGGGGTTTCTTCTGCAGTAGCCCAGGGAGGGCAGGGGGTGGGTGGGTGCCAGGAGCCCGCATTCGAGGCCTGGCTCCGGCCCTGAAGCCCAGAGTGGCCATGCACACCAGAGCCAAAGAAGAAAGTCCCCACAGCCTCCTCCTTGGACACTGAGGACCTCACCCAGGACACAGACGTTCTTGTGGGGCTGATCCCCACACTCCAGGATGGGAGGCACCTGCTAGCCTCGGTGCTCCCAGTCTGGTTTGTTTCCAGCAGAAGCTCAGCCAATTTGGAACATGAAACTGGAAATGATAACGTGCAGCAATCCCGTCCGTGAAGCTCCCAGGAGACCCTCCCCGTCGCCCCCAAGTCTTACGCAAACCCAGCCGGCCGCAGGCTCCACTGGGTTTTCGTGGTGTGATCACTTCTCATTTTCCGTGTTCCCTTTCATTTTATTTTTCCTGCTCTAATTTATTAATTAGTCTCTCTGCTCACAACATAATCCCAGCCCTGGAGTGGATCTTTCAACACAGCCAACATCTCTGAAGGTTTTCTCTTCTAGTGCGTTGTCATGGGGGAGTGGAGTGGGGGCTTTCTGCTAAGATGGAGCCTCCCCAGGGGAGCCCCCAGCCCTCCTCCTGAGACCCACAGCTTCCAGGTGTGTGGGTTTGGCGCCCTGGGTCGCGCTGTCTCCAAGCTCCCTCTGATTTTGTCTTACTTGAATTGGAACAAAGGCTGGTCCCCCAGTGGTGCCCCCTCCCCCGTCAGCTGGGGCTCCAGAGCGGGTCCTCCAGCGTCAGCCCACCCACCAGGCTCTTCTTAAGGAACCCCCACCCCAACCCAGCTCAGTGGAGCGTGACCCACAGTGTTTCCTCAGCCCCTGAGTGGGTCCACGTTTACAGGGGGCATGGGGTAGCCGCACAGCCAACAGGGCTATTTAAAACAGGGCTGTCGAAGTCTTTTTCTTCTGGATGCATTGAATGGCTATAGTTTCTTTTTTCAAATCCCCTTGGAAAATACTTCCCCAAGCACCCAGTGCTTGCTCAGTACTTTCCAGCCCTGAAAGAATCTGTGGCCACCAGGGCACGTCACTCCCTCCCTCCTCCGGGCCCTGACACCTTCGTCTCAGAGACCCTAGCTGATGACTTTCGTCTGAGCCCCTCCTGTGTGCACATGGCTCGGCTTTAGGCTCCGAGCCCCGCACACGCAGGGATCTTGCTGAATTCTTCTCTCTCATCCTGGTGCCCAACGCCACATCCGGGAAGGCGCTCAATACACAGCTACAGCGAATGGAGAAGCGCCGTGGCACCTGCCGCCCAGCTGCCCCCTCCCCAGCAGAGCTTCTGTGGCCAGGGGCCCCCTCATGCCAACCCAGCCAACGTGAGCAATGTGGGGTGTATTTCTGTGTTAAGTCCTGCTGTAATTACACCATCTTCCATCCCACGTCACCTGTTCCTCTGCACACATCCATTTGGCCGCTTTGGGCAATTCAGGTCTACAGATTAATGGAGAAGTGATTATTCACATCCCAAAACCATCATTTCACCAAAGGCAACAACATCCCTTCAAGCACCAAGTCCACCGAGTTTACCCGATCAGGTTCAACCCTCCCACTCTGCACGTGCAGAACACACCCGGGACAGAGCAGCAAACCGGAATCTGATTC